AGTGTGGTTGTCATTTATTTGCATTTACAACACAACCAAAAAGTAAGTTCGGCATTTGGTTTGTTTTCGCTTAAACTGCAAAGGAGAAGAGAAATTAGAAAATTATAGCTTATTTTCATTAAAAATCAAGCTATGTAAAAAAAACTAATGTTCAATTTTATTATAAAAGGAAGCATATATACACTAGCGACCACGCGTTACCACCACTATTTTTTATGAAGAGAATCTCGTACATTAATAAAAAAAATCATTTGTTTTAAATACACATCCATACATACATTGTTCATACTGTAAGAAAACTAAATAAATAAAAGTTTTAAACTTTGAAAATTTAATGAATTTTTCAAAATTTTGTACAAACTATTATAATCAATATTTTTTCTTCTATCACTTCGTAGGAAAAAAGTTTTCAAAAATCAATCCGAATTTTGAGTACTTTCTTGTACAAAAATTAAATGGGCTTAAAATATATCGAAATTTTCCTAACCATTTTGATTAAGTTTGAAATTTTTCCAAAAACTTGATAAACTTTATTAAATTTTGTACAAAGTTTAAAACTTAGATTTATATAGTTTTTGCTATAATATGAATTATAATATAATTAACGAAATTCTACTCCAAAAACAATGGTGGTAAGTTTTGCGTGGCCGCCAGTATACATAAATGCTTTAAAAACAGTGCGTACAAATTTAGGAAAGCAAATTTTCCTTGTAACTCAATTTGGTAAGGCATTTAAGCAGCAATGTGAATGGGAGAGTTTCTACACTAACTCCCTTCTTGTGAATGCCGTCATAGGAGTACAGTCAGCGAGCTTTAATAAACGACCCGTGCAACTGAACCCTAAATTAATCCCTCGAAGGCGGAGACGCTCCAGGTTACTTTGCTGCATAGCTCTATTTTAAATCTCTTCTCAAATACTATGGTTCTGCCTAAGTCATCTCTGGGGAACAGAACAAACTGGAGGTAGGGTCCTCGACCTTGTCCATATTCCTTTTCCAGATCGCGCATCGCGATTGTTTAACCGTGGCCAGAGTACTATTATGATGTAAAACCATCTTGGGATCTTGGGGCTGCATCCCCAGAATTTTCCTGCCAGACGCTCGCACGAACGGTTTAATGGTTGCAGTTCAATCACTACTAAGCGCCACAGAAGAGGTGACAAACCCCCTCCCTGAGGGCCTTTTTTGCTGGTATTTGTACCACGCTATCCCCTACTGCAGTTTCAACAATTCCCAACTAACATCCCTCCTTCTCCCTCTGGTCCGATCGCGTCGAATTAGCACATTTCCTTAGTTGAGCTTGGCGACAACGATTGAGGGACTATTCGATTCCAGGCAGGGCTAAGTAAGCCGCTACTACAACAATAAGAACCTTCTCATGACAGTCAAGTCTACCTAATCGGAAGGACCCAAACCGCTTGCAAAATTTGTATTCTGTTACAACAACATGAGCCTTCGACTAAATTCTGTGAGTAAACATTTCAACTTCTTCTTCTTATTTAGCGCTGTAACCGCCTAAGCGATTTGGGCCAAGCACGCCAGTCGTTTAACTTCTGTGCCAACTGACGCCGATTGGAAATGCCAAGTGAATCCAACTACTTCTCCATTTGAACTGCAGCTTACATTGTCAATAGAAAAATTCTGATCTATGCTTGATCCAGCATTGTGTGACAAACAGTTACAAAAAAGGCTCCAGGTTACGTTGTTGTTGTAACCGCATACAAATTCCCCAAAGAGTTTTTGGAGAATGGTGCTGAAGTGACAGTACTTGGCTAGATATGCATCTGGGACGTTCCGGTTACATATAACCGACTGTCGTGGGAACGCTCCAAGTTATATTTGTTACATCGATTGGAATATGAAAGTTAACCCTGGTCTTTCGATTCCTGGTCAGCATCCCTAAAAGACGACTTTAGCTGTGATGTGTGATGCATGGTGAAAGTGAGTAATAAAGTGGCGATCCATAACTTCATTTTCTGCGATAAAAGTGTACGGGCTTTGTTTTTTTTTTTGCTTTAGACAAAATCTTGACAGAGAATTCGGCGTATTTGCTATTGTAATAGGCATTTCTCTGGCTTGCTTGTCCAAAGTGGAAAATGATTCTTCTTCTTCTTTCTGATTCTGATTAGTTCTATAAAAAAGCTTTGAGTTGTCGGGGCATGAGTTTAACGAAGCGCCCTAAGAAGGAGCAGAATCAAAATAATTAAACGAAGTAAACTGCATCCTGCGGCACCTTTGGATTTTTCTCAGTTTAGAGTTAGATTTATATCTGGCCAAGGCCTGTCACTCCCTCCCAAACGCTTTGGAGAATTTATATGCTGCGACAACAACAGAGGAACTGCAAGTAACTTAAGTGGCAGCTTTTTTTCAATTGCCCTAATTATTGTTAGTAGCCTAAGTAAGTGCTAGCAAGAAATAATTAAAAATATACTGGATTTTGGTAGTCATACTTACTCTAAAATTACACATAATCTCAAACAAGTTTTTGAAACACTTTATTGATTCATAGTTGATGGTGGCGACATTGTTGGGCACATCGGGCATTTATTGTTGCCATCAACGAAATTTGGGGGGCCACCTGTGTAAAAAAGAAGCCATTCAAAATTAGTTTAAGAAATGAATATAGCAAATATAATTAGAGTTAAAGTTGCTTTAGTTTTATTAAATTACGGAAAAATTCATTTGAAATACATACATACATAATGCCTCTTCAAACAGACTTTCTGCTTGCTTACTAACCACTAAGCATGACCCTGAAACTAACATAATTTCCAGCCATATTTTTCCCCATTTTCTCTCTGAACACATTTTCTCCTTTCACTTTACGATCACTTATTTTATGTCGCACTTACCATGCATAGCGGAATGTCGTGTGTGTGCCGAATGCATCAGCGGTGCAACCATATTTTCCGCGCAATGTAAACGGACGTATGGCGGCGGTGGCAGTGGAGCTGCACCTGTTGCATTCGCATGATACAGATTACTGACGGCATTGTGCGTAGCGCTGCGCAACATATGATACGGTGGCGGCGGTGGAATGGGCGTTGTTGCTGGCGTAGTTGGTGTACTACTATTGCTGCATTGGCTAGCACCACTGCTGGTACTACTGTTGCTGCCGACACTCAAATTACGCGCCGCTGTATTGGATATTTGCTGGAGCAATCGACAATCGGCAGCCGTGTAAACCGAGCTACTTGTATCGTGTTGTTGGGCATATGAGCCGTGTCCGCTGTCGCTGGATGAAACCGAGCCTGTCGACAACAATGGTCGATTTGGTGCGTTGTGCGGTGCAGTAGGTGCATATTGTTGTTGTTGTTGTTGTTGTTGTNTCGACAACAATGGTCGATTTGGTGCGTTGTGCGGTGCAGTAGGTGCATATGGTTGTTGTTGTTGTTGTTGTTGTTGTTGATGATGATGTTTATGTTTATGGCACATCAGCGGCATTGTTGTGTTGTATGATTGTGGTGGCGTGTGGTTTTGTTCATTTTTGTTTAATACATACATATATATATTTTTTTTGACGGTGTGAAATAATGACGAGACAACAGAAAATTATGTATTGTAAACTAAAAAAAGTTAAAAAATGTTCAAATACCCAACTACATTTGCGTCTCAATTATTGCAAAACTAAAGCGTATGAATGTGAGCGTTTGTGCATGTGACAATGTACGTGGTAGATGTGTGTAAGCCGACACGCCTTTATACATATTAAATTAAGTAAGCAGCATCTACATACGTTTCGGGAAGGTGGTAGGGAAAAGCCGAAATAAACAAAAGAATAATAAATCAAAATAAATAGAAAAAATAATCGCACACCTGCTTATGTGGTGTGTGTATCTATGTACATATATAAATGTATAATATGCAAGTTAAGTTTACGAAGCGACAATAGTGTGGGAACGCTTGACAGTTTCAAGTTACTGCAGGCGGATCAAAATACAGTGTATTCAAGTTAATTCGCGGTCGCTGGATTCGATTTTGTACATAATTTTTCCGTTCAAAGACCCAAGAAATTGTTTCTTTGATTTGTAAAAAAAAAACTATATATACAAAAAAATTTAGAAAACATGTTTACATGGTTTGCAAACTCATCTAAAAAACGTACAGCAAACAAATTTTAGGAACGGAATCCTGAATTCAAAATTTTCCAGTTAATTTTTATTTGGTTTTTGGATAATTTTTATACCCGAGCGCACTTGTGCACAAGGGTATATTAATTTTGTTCACATAACGGTTGTTTGTAACAGCCAAAACGAATCGAGATAGATATAGACAAATGTATACATAAATG